CTAGTTCCTTCTCTGTTAGCAGAGGCCCCTGCCACGCGGAGGGCCCGACAGTTGCTCTCCCCTGGACTGCACCTCCCATCCTCCTACCCCACAGATGGCCCTGATAAACTGAGTTTTCCCCCCAACCAAGGTCCCTCAAAATTAGGTTCTGAGTTTATTGTTGACTCCAGGAAATGGATGATTGCCCCGCCTGGGCCTTGGGGTCCAAAAGAGGAAGGGTGGGTGAAGAGAGAACTCGGACTTTCGGCCTTTCGGTCTGCTCTGTCTGTTCTGTTCCTGGCAGCGATGAACAGCTCCATTTGCCCGTTATTATCCTCTCCTAAGAGAGTCACAGAGCGCCTGAGAAATCAGGCTGTATGTGGGAATCCCAGCCCTGCTGCCCTTTAGCTGTGCGATCTTGGGAACGCCACCTAACTCTCCCAGGCCTCAAATTTCCTATCTGTAAAATGGGAATAATAAGAACATTTACGTCAGGGGTTCTTGTAAGGATAAGAGAGTTGATTTTTGTTAAGTACTTTCGACAGCGCTTGGCACATTGTAAGAGCAATAGCTGGGTAGCTGTTATTAATTCTTGAGGCAAATGGAACCCTTCGAAAATTCACCAGGTCCTTGCTACCGCCTTCAGGTAGGGCCACGCTGAGCCATGAAGCAAAAGAAGTTATCCTGTTTTCCAAACTCTCCTGAGAAGGTTGCAGGGTCCTGTGGCCACTCATCCTGCAGTCAGGGCTCTACGCAACAGGAATTCTCACTAGAACCAACCTGAATCTCCTTGCGTGACAGTGTGGGCACCTTCTGTCTTTTGCGGGTTTCAGTAAAGACCGTCACCCTCCACTGCAGCAAACTGGCCCTCTTATCCTACCTGGTGAGCTTTGTCCAAGCAAAATGGCCTCCATAGCTGCTGCATGCCCACTGAGGCCAGGCCCTCTCAGGAGAGGAGGAGCCCAACCAGAAAGACATGTTCAGGTGACTCGCGTGTCCCCGTGTGTGTCACCTCCCTCCTCTGCCCCAGCTCCTCCCCTGCCCTGTGCAGCTTGGGCTGCTGACACCCTTCTCTTGGACAGGTTCGTGATCTACTTCAGTCCATTGTTGTCCTTGTGGTCACTGAAACCTGGCCCTGGGGACACAAGCTTGAAAGCTGAAAACTGTGTCACAGCAGTTTGGTTATTCTGGGACAGCCCCGAATAGACTCGATTGGTCGGATTTAAAAATCCCACCTTTGCTCGAGACTCCCAGACTGTCGTCCCCACACCGCTACCATCTTGTGTCTGGCAAGGATAGAGACAACTTTGAACCTCAAAACTTTCTCTCTGAGGCAGAGCAGTCTGGGAACCCGTGTGCTTGCCCTGCGGCAGGACCCTTGTACCCGGCAGTGGTCACGGGGCACTGTTTCCATCTGCCATGCACTTTTCTCTGAGTCCCGGTTCCACCACTGGCCAGCCACGAGCCTGGAGTGGAAGAGCTTAGGTGAGGTGAGCTCCCAAGGCTTTACAGCTCTAGTACTTGCTATTGTGGTTCTCCTGTGGCCGGCACCGAGCAGATCACCTTGGCCTGTTATCCAGAAGGGAAAACTGAGGCTCAGGGGAGGGATCTGAACACAAACTGTACCATTAGGCAGAACTCAAGCCCAGGCATGGAGTCCGAACAGAAACCCAGGCCCCCTGCATCCCAGACCTACACTCTGCCCACTGCTGTGCATGCTCAGAGGGAGCACAAGGTGTCAGGGAGGGGAAAGATCTCTGCTACCTGCTGCCCACCTGGCCCCTCCTGCCGCCTGCCTGCCAGCCTCCCCCTGCCCGTGCCCTTTGAGCCCCTGGCCTCCTGCCCCATCCTCCATCTTCTCTGCCCTCCCGCAGGTGTCTCTGAGGGTTACACAAGCTGGAGGCAGATAGCATGGGATGAGGAAGTAAGTGGGGGGGCAATAGTGCTCTTCCCTCCAGGGATTTAGACTGAATGAAATAGGATCGCCTAGTTCAGGTTCAGTACCAAGAACAATTTCTGTTCTGGTTTGGTTTTAGCTTTGACATTTGAAAGGTAGGTAGGTTTGATTCTGGCTTCAATTGCTTTGTTAAAAGATTGGGGTTGCAGATGGGAAAAGAAAAAAAAAACCTGCATAGATCTCTGATTCAGGAAAAAGTTAATGGCTGGGATTGGTCCTAAGTGGGACACAACAGAGAGTGTGATGATAAGTTGACTTTGATTCAATTCCAGCTCCAAGCCGGCCGTGGGTACCATCTCACCCCGGGGACCACAGAGGGAAGGCCAGGCTGATGGAGTTCCTCCTTCTGACTTTGTGTCCAGGCCCTGCCAGGGAGGCAGGCAGATGCTCAGGCTCATGGGTAGGAGGCCGCCCCAGCTGATAGAATGTTAACTAGCCTCTCGGGGCAGGGAGATCTTGGTTCAGGCCTGAGGGAGGGTACTGGTTCCACAGCTCCTGGGCGGAGCCAGTACCTTGAGGAGACTTAAATCTCCTTGAAGAGAAGCAGCCATTATAAGGAGGGTGATGAGAAGCCCTCGACCAGTTCCCTTTCAAAGGAAGAAATAGAGCCTGAACTCCCCCATATAATGGAGACAGAAAACTGAGGTCAAGCCAGCCAGAAGCCAAGACTATCACATCTTCTCTTTACTTTCTGCAATAGCCCAAGAACTTTATTGACTAAAAACTACTATATTTCTGAAAGGATCCCAAGGAAATTTCAGATCTGTCCATCTAAGAGAGAATGCTACTTCAAATGTTAAGGGGAACCTTTTTAATTGTGGGGTTTTTTCCCAGGTAGAGACCCTTCCCTCTGCTTGAATCCATAACCATATTTGCGCTGGGGTAGAGGACAAGTAACCTCAGCCTCACGACATCATTGCTGACCCCAGAGTCTTCCTCCACTCTCTGAGAATGAAGTAAATGAACCCCCAAGCCCCTCCCCTGGATGCAATGGCTTTGAATGTAGGAAGCCACTAGCTAGGCAGAGAAAGGGCAAAGGGGAATTTACCGTGGCATCAGGCACCAAGTGTGGCCCTTGGGATGAATAAGTCATGGTCCTTGCCCTCAGGAGCTCCTGGTGTGGTGGAAGAAATGGGCAGAGGGAAAGGCATGGTTAGAAGTACAAGAGAAAAATGAAAGGGAATGTGAGTGGGGAGGGGGCAGCCTGAATCCTACAATCTTCCAGAGAAAATGCCTTTGAATCTCACTTTGATTTAGCACTAGAGTTCATGAGACTTTATCAGCGGGTTCATAGTTCATGTCCTTTCAACAAGTATTTCTTAAGCATCCCGTTTTATCCATCACCAGCCAGGTTCCTGAACCCATTCGAGTCCTCAGAGGGTTATTAGAGAAGTAGAAAACACATCCTTGTCTTCAGTGTTGACAGACTTACGCACATGTGAGGCAATTAGAGAACAATGTGAGTGGGTAGTCAATACATGGTAGCTAGTACATATACAATGAACAGATCAATTGACTATAATCCTAAGACAAAATGTCTGATAGAAAAAAAAAAGGCATCAGGGTGATGAGCAATTAGTGTGGTGGAGAGATTAGGGAAGGCTTCATGGAGGAAATAGGGCTTGAGCTAGAGGGGGTGTAGATGGGCAGAGGACAGAGAAAACAAGCCAGGGTGGGGATTATTGGTCACCCGACCAAGAAACGTGAAGGCAGGAGCATATTCAAACCCAGGACTCCCAGACACCAGTTTTTTGTATGACCTTAGGGACCGTCTTCCGCTGAGTCTACACAGAGCTTAGACTAGCCCTCTCGAATCCACAGACCAGCAGCCTCCACATCACCTGGGAATTTGTTAGAAGTGAGAATTCTCAAGCCTCATATTTGCTGAATCAGAAACTCAGGGGCGGGCTCAACAATGTGTTTTCCTAAGCCCCCAGAGGTGATTCTCAAGGCATGCAACCTTGAAAACCACTGGACTCCATCGCTGCTTCTAGACCCTGGCCACTCATCAGATTCACTTGGGGAGCTTTGAATCCCCAAGCAGATTCCCAGGCCACACCCACAGAGATTCTGATTAATGGATTCAGCCCTGGCATTTGTATCTTTTAAAACTCCCCAGACGAGGGCACCTGGGTGGCTCAGTTGGTTAAGCAACTGCCTTCGGCTCAGGTCATGATCCTGGAGTCCCGGGATCGAGTCCCGCATCGGGCTCCCTGCTCAGCAGGGAGCCTGCTTCTCCCTCTGATCCTCCCCCCTCTCATGTACTGTCTCTCATTCTCGGTCTCTCAAATAAATAAATAAATCTTTAAAAAAATAAATAAATAAATAAATAAAAAATAAATAAAACTCCCCAGACGATTCTGATGTGCAGCCAGGGCTGAGAAGCAGTGAACTTGATGGTGTCTGAGTCCTTTCTTTCTGACTTATTATCCAGAGCTGGGCTCTAAGAGTCTGATCCAGGATTCCTGGCTCCCCAAAATCCCAGGGTGAATTTGCACACATATAGGGGATCTGTTTGGGGGCAGAAAGGCCTTCCTGAGATTCTAAAATCTTGAATCTCTTGATGACCAGCTTTTTAATGGTTTATATGATTGTTTACCCATTCTTCCTCACCCGCCTGAGACAGAAACACTGTGAGCAGGTGTTGACTGTCCTACCCCAAACAGCAGTAAGTGTGCATAAGCACAGACACACACACACACACCCTCCACACAGTGCTGTAAATACATGTAGACACACGCAACAGTAACCACATTGGGATATTCAGAATTGCCTCTTAGGGCACATACGCACACACAAATGAACCTACCGTCGAAATGCCAGACCTGGCACACTCAGACCACTTGGGAAAGGATCGCTCTTGGTGGAAGCAAACAGCCCACTGTTTGAACTGAAAGGCACCTCTACCTTCCCTGAAGCCTAGTTTGGTTCCGAGGAGCAACTGCGGGTCGGGTGGGGGAAATTATCTTCGGGAAATACAACCACTTCAGGAAAGTGACCTGCTCTAGGCCGAAGCAGGGGACTGCTGAATACAGATGCTGAGGATGCCTTGTTTCTTTCTCAGATTCGAGCTGATGGTCCCCCCCATGGAGGGGTCCAGTACGAGATGGTCTCTGTGCTCAAAGATGGGAGCCCCATCCTCCGGGACATGGCCTTCTCCATTGATGAGCGCTACCTGTACATCATGTCTGAGAGACAGGTAAGTGCTGACACCCATCCCTTCTTTTCAAAGCCCAGGAGTAACTGATAACCTGTGACCTTTGTTCAGAAACTGTTCTTCTAACAAGAGAGACCTCTGGGTTTGTGGCTCAGGGGTCCAGGGAGAGGCAGAGTCCTTGGAGGCTTTTGCAGGGAGCCAGAGAGAAGAAACTGGGGCCAGCCACTTCCCGGAGGTTTCTCTCCAGGCCACAGCCCCTGTCTCAGTGTGTGATGAACAGCCCCGCAAGAACAGGCCAGACTGCATGGAGCAGCTTGGTGTGATTAGGAGGTAGATTTACAGCTCCCGGGCCCACAGAGTCTGCTGCTCAAGGGAGCCAGAGAAGTGTAAATAATCCAGGCCTCCTGGCTGGGCCTGATCCTGGGAGAGACAGACCCAAGATAGGGCCCCAGAAGGAGATAAAAATCTTGGTCTGAGTCATAGACTGATGCCAGTAGAAGCTGGCCAGCTCTGGGAAGCCAAAGTTGGCCTGAGAAATAGACTTCTACCCTCTGCGGGTAACCATTGAGCAGGTTCCCCACCTTCTCTGGTGGAGCATTATTCCCCCCCGGAGTGTATTTGCTCTGAATACATGTGAGCAAAGAGAAGGTAGATGCAGGAGAGCCATGGTGATGGGCAAGAGAAGCAGGGAAAACAGAGGATTCACAAATTAATGGGGATGCAAAAAGCAAAGCAAAGACCTTAAGAAAGGCTGGTTCTTTCCATTCGTTCAGTCAGTGAGTCTACTGTTGTTCAGCAGGAGCATGGTCTTGGCATTGACCAAAACCTAGGCTAGACTCTAGGCTAGACAAAGATGCTGGGCTAGAAGACCAGTGAGCATTCACGAGGTGCCTCCCAGCTCTGGAGTGTTTGTCATTCCCAAAATACTCTGCAAAGATTCCTGGTGTACTTGATGAACACCACCTTGCCCAGAGTTCTCGTTTCCTCATTTTTTTTGAATGTAAGAATTCTGAATCTGGGGATGAGAGAAGAATGGAGGGAGGAAGGGAGAGACAAATGGGCACGACAGCATTCAGAGAAGCAGTGATGCAGCTCTAAATCAAAAATTACTTCTTGAGAACAGATGACACAAATCATATGCAGATTGCATGCAAATTATATCCAGACCCCCTTGAACCCACCTGTCTTTTTACCTTCTTTCATATGGCCCCTGCAGTCGAGGCGTAAACAGGTGCAGATGGGAATTTGGTGGAGCTGGGGGAGGATTAGCCTAACCTACGGTGGGTAAGACAGTTGGAAATAAACACTGTTGTCTCGTTCTAATAAAACAGTCCGTGGGCCCTAACAAAGCCCATTACTGGGAATATATTTTTCGGGAACAGTGTGCTGGGAAAACTTTAAAATGAATGGGACTTAGCCACTACCCTCAGGTTGCTTACAGTCTAACGAGGGAGGGAGACAAGAAGCCAGTTACCTGTAACATCCCACTGAAGCCTATAAATATTCTGCCTTTTCTTCCTTTTCTTCTCTATTTATAGACATAAGGTTATTTCTTAAACAGAAACAGTAGATGCTCACCATGCAAATTCCAGCAATACACACAGAAAAGAAAATGGCAGTGAGTCCCCAGTCGGGTCTGCCCAAAATGTAACACCATGTTAACATACGGTGAACACCATTCTAGATGCTTCTGCAGGATAATAATCAGACAGAGGGATAGATGGATAGATGGCAGTCCAGATAGGTGGATAAAATGATGATCAGAGGGATCCAACAGACCCCCAATATATGTGATATTTTCAGAACACATTATGTATGGCTGAGGACCAGCCAGGTAACTCTGGGTAAAAACTCTTCCTTGGGTTCTCTGAGCCCGGTGTGTGGAAAAGCATTGACAGCAAATAGAAGTGATCAGTGAGGCCTTAATGGAACTGAGAATATGCCAAGGCTCAGATTTTGGCTGTTTCTCAAATGGGATGCTTTATGAAATTACATTCGAAATGTGGCCAGAGGAGAGGGGCCTGAGTCAGAGCTTGAGACTAGTGAGTGGCCTTCGGGGACTGGGATGACCTCCTGAGATCATAGCCGGTGTCACCTCTGAGAGCATCAGCCCTGGCTCTACCAAGTGTCCACATAGCTTATTTCTAAATCTCCTGGCCTTTGTCCTCACCTTCTGCCACCGCTGTGCCATTCTTGTTACAATCTGCACCAAACAGAGGGCTTCGGTAGTAGCCAGTCCCACTGAGCAGATATGGGAAGAATTTGGGGTTAATGCCATGGGGCCTGTCTCCAGTCAGGTGAGATATCAGTCCAGAGAGCTCCCCATGCCAGGTGGAGCTGTGATCAGTGGGCAGAGTCTAAGGGGGATTTGTGGCAGAGCTCTGAGACCTGTCAGCCCGAGAGCTGTAAATCGTGTAGAAATAGGTAGCTAGGTGATTTCACCTGGGGCTGGGCCCAGGGATGAGGGCCAAGAACAGCTCAGGGGGCCCATCTGTCTGAGGCCGAGCAACTCTGAGTACAGAATATTCACAGACAGCTCGGACATCTTTCAAGAAACAGTTTAGTGGGTGGTGATGCAGATGGAGTTGGATGGCTTGGGTTCTAGTCCAGCTGTTGCTAGATCTGGAAGCATGACCCTCTCCCAGGTCATGAAATAGTTGCTTCAGATAATAGGATTGTCTCTGAAGTCCGAAGCTCTGCTTTGGATCTCGTCTCAACATTTCATAGCCACATGGCGTTAAACCAGTCACTTGGCCTCACTGTGCCTCACTCGGGTCAACGTGAGACTCCATTCAGCAGAGAGGAGGTTCTTTCCCACGGCCTCACACGCCACACAAACCCTTGATCATTGAGCCTCTGTGTGGCCCCTTCCAGCTCTCAGGCCTTTATGATGCCGGCTCAGGAGGGTGGTGACCATGAGTGATGATTAAGGGGAAGTAAAGTGGCTGTGGGGCACATCCAGTAGGCCTCAGGCTGAGCCCGGGGGTCTGTGTTCTAGTCCAGGCCCACCTCTAATGAGCTGGATGGCTTACACTCTTAAGTTCTCAGAGATTCAGGTTCCTCCCTTTTAGAGATAACGGTTAACAAATCTAACGCTAGACTCCTTTCCATATTAAAGAGGCTTGTTTAAGGTGTTGGTATTGAGACTCTTCTCCATGTCCAGAAGACAACACTAAAACTACAGTAGACAGGCCTGAGGTTAGACCAAATGAAGAACTTTTGGAACAAGAGTTGTATGAGGCCATGGGTGCCCATGTGAACTTCTTCCCTGAACGGTGACCAATGCAGAAAGAGGGAAAATGCTGGCTGGTTAAGGATAAGTGTATTCCTGTTTTGAGGCAGTGATTTAAGACTTTGGAGGTTCCTGAAAGACCTGAGACCTTATAAGACATCGTGGGAATGGGGCTTCCCCTCACTTTCTTTTTTTTTTAAAGATTTTATTTATTTATTTGAGAGAGAGAGAATGAGAGAGAGCACATGAGAGGGGGGAGGGTCAGAGGGAGAAGCAGACTCCCTGCTGAGCAGGGAGCCCCATGCGGGACTCGATCCCGGGAGTCCAGGATCATGACCTGAGCCAAAGGCAGTCGCCTAACCAACGGAACCACCCAGGCGCCCTCCCCTCATTTTCTAATAAATCTCTGCGCAGCCTACTGTCATCCCAGCCCTCACCTCATCCCCACCTCTTGTCTCTCTGTCCCTCTGATGCTTCCCCAAAACATGGCACCTATTGTATCTTTGGCACCATGGGAGTGTAGATCCAAGTCTCCGGCCTCAAGTTCTGCCTGGAGAGGCTTGCATCTCCTTACAGAGCTCCAGCGATCCCGTATAGCTCATTCATTCTCGCTCCCTCTCCCTCTCTCAGTTAATTACACATAATTAAGAAATAGGACTAGTGAGAAGTGTTGGGTCGCTAGTGCAACTGCCTAACAAGCCAATGTTAATGGACTGTTAATAGATCCAGGGCTGGCCAGTCCCAGGGGAACATTTGGAAACTGATTTCCCAATCCTGCTAATTGCCCAGGTGCCCCACGGACAGGATGCCTGGTTCTTCCCTAGAAAGTCCGCCCCGGCTTCCTCAACAGCAGATCGACAGATGCTGTGGGTGTGAATACAAGTTCTCCCGTATCCTCAGTGTCTAATGGAAGTCAGTCAGCAAGTCCAGGGAAAGTCAGGCGACGAGCCAAGTGCAAAACGGAGCGAGAAGATGAAAAGAAACTTGATAGCCCCAGTTTCCACCCAACTTGTCAGGTTGGCCACTCCCAGATAAAGAATATAGCTCTGTCCTCAACGTGGATGGGAAAGAGTATGGGGATGGAAGCAATTATTCTATTTTATACTTTAATTAGTTTGAATTAGCAGAGGGAATAGAGGCATAAAATGATCCAGCGAAGGGTGAAATGGAAAAAGGGAGTCACAGTGGAGAATGGCTCCGTGCAGGCTGGAAAGGGCCTTGGGAATAGCAGAAAGGCTGGTTATGGGGGCGTGCACGCGTGTGCGCGTGTATGTGTGTGTGTGTATGTTGGGGTGGGTGGAGGCATGGGCTGCAGCTCTCTATTTCAGAGCCTGGGAAGGCAATATAGTGTAGTGGTTAAGAACTGGAGCCTGAGAATCAGACTGATCTCCATTTAACCCATAGCCACTTGCTAGACATTTAGCTTTGAGATCTCTCACCACTAAACCTCAGTTTCTTCATCTGTATAATGGGCCGAGTAATGGTAACCGTTGTGTCTGACACACAGTGCCTTCAATGTGCGGTATGATTATTATCATCATTGCTGTTATCAGTCATATTATTAGAAGTTCTCTGGAATCCCAGAGAAGGCTAGAAGCCTCTCCACTTAAACTATGGCTGGGACAGAGTTCCCAAGTCAAACACCTCCAACCTTCTATTTCTGCTGCTCCCTCCTAAGGGACGGCTCAGAAGCCTGTGGCCTGGCCCAATGACAGCATTAGGCTAAGTCGCTCATAATCTGCTATTTATTTTAAAAATCCAGGAATGTGCCCAGCAGACTAAACAGTCCCACTCCCCTTGATATAGGCAG